GAAGGGTGCGTGAGTAGCCAGCATGGTGCAAACACAGAGGGGCTGGGGGAGGGTCCGTGGGTGGGGAAGACTTACCCCAGAGACTTGCAATCTTCCCTGCCAGGCTTCCCCTTTGACTTTCTGGGGAAGCCGGCATGGATGGTTGCAAATGGTGATCATGTGATCACGGGGCACTTGGTAACTGGTGGTAACCAGTTGTAAGCACGAATGGATTGCCAAGCACCCAGAACATGATCATGTGAACGCGGGGGTGCTGGGACAGCCGCAACTTCGAGGACGGTTGTAAGTCTGTGCTTTTTTAGCACTGTTGTAACAGATGGTTGCTGAACGAATGGTCGTAAGTCGAGGACTACCTGTAAGCCTGTTCTGGTACTATATATCAAGTGCTTCTGATCACTTTACCCCAGAAATCTAGAGTTTTTGCTAGACTTGTTAGCCAACCAAAACAGAATGTACCCCTTTTCCCTCTAGATTGCAATAGGCCAACATTTACTTACAGCTCTAGGCTGGAAATCTTCATCTGTGAGTCCCCACTTATCTTTATGATATTGGTAATAGACAAGATTCTGTTTCATCACTTCATCTTTCTGGTCAAAAAGCATGTAACTAGCAACGCATGGAGCTGCATTCTTCAAATCATTCACTGAATGAAATACGTAACAAAACCAAGTCAGCTTCTTAGAAGGGGTACTGTTATAACAACATATACTGTATAAATGTAATATTTTGTTAGGACTTTGATTTGAAATCAGACTTCAGGGTTGAAATGTGTAGGCATGGTAGGAGTGCATATGTGATGCTTGTGCTTATTCCCAACTAAAAAAATTCCATTTACAGTATTAAAAACAACTATCCCATACGAACATTAAAACCAGAATTATGAGATATGTCTTCTTTCTTTTTTCTTCTGCCTTTTTTTTTACTTCTTTCAGATAATGGTAATATATAACAGTTCTTCTGTATACAGATAAAGCCAGTGCTAAAATCTCCTCTCAGAAAATAATTGTGGATATTCTCTGTATATGACAAATAATTATATCATTGTAGATCATCTTTATGTAAAAGATACAAACCAAAATGAGCACTCTTTTCATCGTGATCTGATTAGAGCCTTTAGGAAAATCAGAGGGAGTATCTACTATAGGTGTATCATCCTGGTGCAGAAGGCATAACTCAACTTTCTTCACAGCCGAGTTCTATTGGATAGTGTTGAGCTTCAGGGTTTAGTGACCATGGTCTAGACAACAGATTTCAACCAATCAAAATGACCCCTCACGATCGGGTACAAAGAACCAATCAGAGACCAGCCCTGCACCAATTGGAAACAAGCTTGGCTAAACACCAATCAGAAGTCAGGGCACCTGGCTATAAAGACAGGAGCCCAGTCAGTCCCTGCTCATTTGCCTTCGGTAGACTACCTTGCCTCTGAAGATGCCAGCCACAGTTGCTGGAAAAAGGTCAGGAAATCTATTGTCTAGACCACAATCACTAAACCTTGCAGCCCAGCACTGCTCATAGCATGTAAAAATAGTAATATGTACTAATAATATATAAATTACACATAGCAATAAATAGCACAATCTTACATTAATTACAACAAATAACTTGATAGAAACTAATCCAGCATTCATGGCATCAGTATCTACCTTAGGTCTCTGAAATAACCAGGCCTTAACAAACTTTTGGAAGCCATGAATATAGGGGGGAAATCATCTCTGCAGGCAAGTTAATCCTTAGGAGTGGAAACCCCACAGAGAACACTCACATTTGTGCCCCCTCCCTCCAGGAGCAGCCAATATGGTGGGCATGACTGCACAGTTGAAGCCCTGCCACTTTGGACATGCATGCAACGTTTATGCATAAAAAAAGGAGGAGGCTTCAACTCCCTGGCCTTTTAGCTCCTCATCTGGACACCTTTGCTAGGGTCAATTTCAGTTGAGAACAAAACTCTTAACTTACACTTATAATAGGCAAACTGCAAGTAGTGATACATAGTTGCCACAAATTTTTCCACTATGTAGCCCCCTATGACAGGTGTCAGATCAATTTCACATCTCAGTTTGCACTGAAGAACTTCAGTATAGTGATCTAAAAAAAAAAGAATCTGATCATTACTCAGTTTACTAATTCAACTTAAAAGATGGCGAGTTGACTGTAAAAATGAATTTTAAAAATGTTCAGCACTTGATACTTGAAAGTCAGTGGGATATGATACCATTTAATTTCTGGGAGGAAAGAAATCCATTATATAGAATACTTAATAAGCAAATACAGCATACGTTCTGGATATCACACTTGACCCCAGTGTGACAAATTCCTAGTACAAGTCATCATTAGTTTAACCATTAGAAATCATTGTGAATGTGTTAGGATTGTGCAGTTTCAAAGAACCATTCTGATTCATCTTCTTTTCATCCAGATGCTAAAACAGCCTCAGCACAGAGGTCCCTTCCCACTGAACTACCCCATTCTGGCTGAATTAGTTTGGCCATTTCAACATTTCAATTTGAGGCAAAGAGATCTGATTTTCCAATTTAAGGTTTTTCCTCAAATTTAGCACTGCAATGGCTTGGACTGAGGCAACACCATGAGATGCAGCAGACCCACTCTGCACAGGTCTAAAAAGTATGCATAA